CACTCCCTCCCTATCGTTCCCCATGAACCTCCTTCTCCCCCCCTCCCCTCTGCCACGGTCAGTCAGTGGTAGGCTGAGGTGCCCCTGGGGTGTGGCCAGCCGTCATCATCCTGCAGATGCTCAGGTGAAACTCTTGCTAATTACCTTCCTCACCTGTAATTACCCCCGCCCTCTCCCGTGTTACCTGCCACTACGGCCCCTGTTGTCTCCTGTTGTGTTGTCGTTGTCTGTTGCTCCTGTTTTAATTTTCTTCTACTGCTACTGCTCGTCCGTTGATGTCTGCTGTTACTGCTGGTGCCTTTGTCTGCTGTTGATACTGTTGCTGTCTGCTATTGCTTTTGTTCTGTTGGTGTGACGTTGCTGATGTTGTTGTTGTGGTCTGCTGTTTGTGCTGCTGTTGTGGTCTGCTGTTTTTGCTGCTGTTGTGGTCTGCTGTTTTTGCTGCTGTTGTGGTCTGCTGTTTTTGCTGCTGTTGTGGTCTGCTGTTTCTGCTGCTGTTGTGGTCTGCTGCTTCTGCTGCTGTTGTGGTCTGCTGCTTCTGCTGCTGTTGTGGTCTGCTGTTTCTGCTGCTGTTGTGGTCTGCTGTTTGTGCTGCTGTTGTGGTCTGCTGTTTTGCTGCTGTTGGCAATTCTCTGCTGTTTTTACTGCTATTTGGTCTGCACAAACACTGCTCTTGTGGTCTACTGTTTCTGCTGCTTTCAGGCTGTGGTCTGCTTCCTGCTGCTGTTGTAGTCTGCAGCTTCTGCTGCTGTTGTGGTCTGCTGTTTCTACTGCTGTTGTGGTCTGCTGTTTTGCTGCTGTTGTGGTCTGCTGTTTTGCTGCTGTTGGTCTGCTGTTTCTGCTGCTGTTGTGGTCTGCTGTTTCTGCTGCTGTTTTGGTCTGCTGCTTCTGCTGCTGTTGTGGTCTGCTGTTTCTGCTGCTGTTGTGGTCTGCTGTTTTTGCTGCTGTTGTGGTCTGCTGTTTCTGCTGCTGTTGTGGTCTGCTGTTTCTGCTGCTGTTGTGGTCTGCTGTTTCTGCTGCTGTTTTGGTCTGCTGCTTCTGCTGCTGTTGTGGTCTGCTGTTTCTGCTGTTGTGGGTCTGCTTCTTTTTGCTGCTGTTGTGGTCTGCTGTTTTTGCTGCTTGTGGTCTGCTGTTTCTGCTGCTGTTGTGGTCTGCTGCTTCTGCTGCTGTTGTGGTCTGCTGCTTCTGCTGCTGTTGTGGTCTGCTGTTTCTACTGCTGTTGTGGTCTGCTGTTTGTGCTGCTGTTGTGGTCTGCTGTTTCTGCTGCTGTTGTGGTCTGCTGTTTCTGCTGTTGTTGTTGTCTGCTGTTTTCGAGACGTACCCGAGTGTGCTCTCTTTACCATTTTCTTTCTTTTTTCTTTCTTTCTTTCTGTCGTTCGTAGTGTTGTCGTTCACTCGGTGGGATTTAACACCCTGTTTACCTTTCTTCAACAGCTTCACACAGGTAGACAGGTCCTCGGGCCTCTGTGTTTACCTACCCACCACCACCACCACCACCACCACCACTCAGCTCATTTCACCTGATGATTCTACACCTTCCTACCGCTACCTGGAGAACTTAGGTTAGGTTAGGTTAGGTTAGGTTAGGTTAGGTTGAGATATTTAATCACCAGGTGGACTAAGCTTAACGCCCACCTTATTGCGAATGTATCTCACCTAATTACAACTGAATTTTGTGGTAGTGATGATGTTGGTAGGGGTGGTTGTAGTGGTAGTGATGATTATAGTGGTGGTGATGGTCGTGGTGATGATGCTGGTAGTGTTGGTGGTTGTATGATGGTTGTAGTGGTGGTGATAGTGGTAGTGATGATGGTGGTGATGGTGGTCCAGAGATTAAGGTAGAATGACGGAGCATTAAATAGACTTATCCAGCGCCTTTAATTAAGATTAGTATCAAGGTGGTGGTGGTAGTGGTGAGGGAGGTGTGGTGGTGATGGAGATGGTGGTTACTGGTAATGGACATTGTGGTGGTGTGGTGAGGGAGAGGTATGATGGTGGTGGGGGTGGTAATGATGGTGCATGGTGGTAGTGAGGGAGGAGCATGGTGGTGTTGGTGTCGTGGATATGGGTGGTTGGGTGGTGATCAAACCAGGTAGTAATGCGGACATCCGTGGCTGGGCGGACACACACACACACACACACACACACACTAAAGTATAGTGTGTGTGTGTGTGTGTGTGTCGGTCGTTCATGCCTCAAGACTTGTCGTTCTAGTCGCTTACTTTCCCTTCACGTTCAAGGTCACACACCTCTCCCTAGCCGCGTCTGTCTGTCTGTCTGTCTGTCTGTCTGTCTGTTTGTTTGTTTGTCTGTCTGTCTCGGTGTTTACTTGTTTGTCTTTGTTGCGTGTGCGTATTTTTGTAAGTTTATATGTGCGTAAGTAGGATTGTTTGATTTGTTTGTGTGTGTGTACAATACATATATGTGTGAGTGTATGTATGTATGTATGTATGTATGTATGTATGTATGACACCAAGACACCTCAGGAAGTCCTTCAATGTCTTTGTTTACCTCTGGGTGGGCGTCCGTTACCTGCCTGGCATTGTTGTGGGGTGGGTGGTCAGGGGGGTGGGGTGTGGGAGCGGTTGTGTGGGCAGGGAGAGAGAGGAAGATGGCAGGTGTGTGTGGGGGGCGTCGGAGGAGGCGTGGGAGGCATAGGGAACTGCCATGTGCCCACTAGACGTAATCCTCCAGCACTATATTGTTATTAAATACCCACCTAGCCCACCCACCCACAATCCCATCTATCCTCCTTAGAATACCGTTGCTATCCACCACCTTCCACCCATCAGTAGCATCTCACCCATAAGCACCATCACTACCCACCCACCCCTCCCCGCCCTTGGTGAACAAATATCAGGTAGAGAGAGAGATGAATCATAATAACCACTAATTACAACACAGGGACTAATTATGACCTACTATACGTCACTTCCGGTATGGTAATGACGTAAGAACCATTCGCACCAATTAAACCGCGACCTTGTTACAGACTTAATGGTTGTTTGCGGATCATAACGAGCGGGCAGTTGTTGCTGGGTGGTGTTTTTTCTTTTCTTCAGTCGGTTGAGTTGTTAGTTAAGGATTGTGAAGAAGGTTGTGGTGTTGTGGTTGTGGGGTTGGGAACAGTGGTGTGTGGTAGTGCTAGTGGTGTGTGGTAATGATGGTGGTGATTGTAGTGGTGTATGGTGGTGTTGATGGTAGGGATGGTATGGTAGTAGTGATGGTGGTAGTAGTGTGTGTGTGTGTGTGGTAGTGATTGTGGTAGTGGTGTGTGGTAGAGGCAGTAACGGCAGAGGGACCTGGAGGCTGGTGGCTGGTCAGTTGCATGGAAGGAGAGGTGGCGAGGAGAGGAGGGGCGAGGAGAGGGAGGCGAGGAGAGGCGAGGAGAGGAGGCTTGAGTGACCCGCTAGACAAAAAGGAACTATGCTACTGCTCTACCTGTGTGAATCTTAATTACTCCCCTTCACCTGAGATCACCTGATGAACTCCTTTGGTCAGCTGATTAAGGGGAGACTCACCTGATACATTCACCAAGTCACCTGTTACCTGGTGATGCTGGCCTCGTCGTCATGGTGACCAGCACGTTCCAGCTCCCGCCCCCAACACACACACAGTACCGAGTCATTAATACAGGTGTGTAGGCTGGGGCTGTAGGCTAAATGAACGCCAGTCTAACCTAACCTAACCTAACCTAATCCCGACAGATAGATTTAGGTCAGATTGGGGTCGAGTGGGAGTTAGGGGCCATTTGACCATTCAACGTGGACCTCAGTGATGGAGGGGGGTGGAGAGGGGGTCAGTATGGACAGGCTGATGTACAGGTGTTGGTGGGAGTTAATTAAAGGTGTCTGATGGCGCTCCCTAGTCTTACCTGTGATGCTGATTGTGTAGAGTAAGTTGTTGTTGTTGTTGTTGTTGTTGTTTCTCTTCCTCTCTCATTTACCTCCCCCTATCTCCTCTTCTTCTCCTCCTCTCTCACTTGTCTATCTCCTCTTCCTTCTCTACACCATTTCTCCCTTTTCCTTTCATCTTCTCTCTGTTTCTCTTATTTATCTTCTCCTCTCAATTTTGTTTTATATCTCTCCCTTATTCTCTTTCTTTCTCGTTTCTCTCCTTTCCTCTCTCATCTCTCATTGAGTCCTTATTGGTACACCCCGTTCCATCTGTCCCTCTCCCCACCCTTCCCCTCCCCCCACCCCTCTGGCCCCCCCCACCCCTCCTGGCCTCCCCTCCTGGCCTCCCACCCCTCCTTCCCTTCCCCCACCCCCTCCTTCCCTTCCCCACCCCCTCCTCCCCACCCCTTCCTGGCCTCCCCACCCCCCTCCAGGCCTCCCCCACCCCTCCTTCCTTCCAGGTGTTAATCCGTTACGTCATAACTGTTGATGCTGGTTGTTGTTGTTGTTGTTGTTGGGGTGGTGGTTGTTGTTGATGATATGGTTGTTGTTGTTGTCATCAACGGTCATCTGATGTAGGTCTGGTCAGCTGATTCTAAGACTCATAGCTATATTTTTCAATGTGTGTGTGTGTGTGTGTGTGTGTGTGTGTGTGTGTGTGTGTTCCCAGTATGTAATCTGTATCCGTCCCATCATAAAGACAACCTTGGATAACTAATGAACGAGACGGCAGGTGTGTGTGTGTGTGTGTGTGTCACTATACTAACACAAGACAAGGTGACACGCCCATCCCCACCATAAACAAAGCGGGCACACGCACACACACACCTTGAGGTAACCGTAATATTCAGCACAAGCAAACACCTCCTCCCCTTCCCCCAACACCCCTACCCAACTTTATAATGGATAACTGTAGGTCAGCTGAGGGCAGGATGTGACCTTGCTCTGGGCATTGGAGGGGGAATTATCGAGTGTGCAGGTGACATGAGAACCATTTGAGGGCGAGGTGATAAAGTGTGTCTTGTATGTGGGTCTCGAGGTGCCTATGTGGGGTCTCAGTGCCTATGTGGGTCCTTGAGGGCCTATGTGGGGTCTCGAGTGCCTATGTGGGGTCTCGAGTGCCTATGTGGGGTCTCGAGTGCCTATGTGAGGTCTCGAGTGCCTATGTGGTCTCGAGTGCTATGTGGGGTCTCGAGTGCCTATGTGGGTCTCGAGAGTGCCTGTGTGGGGTCTCGAGTGCCTATGTGGGGTCTCGAGTGCCTATGTGGGGTCTCGAGTGCCTATGTGGGTCTCAGTGCCTATGTGGGGTCTCGAAGTGCCTGTGGGGTCTCGAGTGCCTATGTGGGGTCTCAGTGCCTATGTAAGGTCTCAGTGCCTATGTGGGGTCTCAGTGCCTATTCTGGGTCAAGTTATTTATTGAGTGTATTATTCCCCCAAAAAAAATCTTAATCATATTGAAATTTATAGTTTTATTTTTTCTTATAAATAAATTGTATGAGTTTTATCAGTTATTTATGCTAAGTAAATAAAGATAAATAATTTTTTTTATCAATATTGTTTATACTAGGAAAATGCGTTTTGTTCCTTTCTGTATTCAATTTATTAGTTGTATCTGTATAAAAGGTGGGTTAGGTTAGGTTAGGTTATATGAGGTTAGATTAAAGTTATATTACGTTATTATAGATTAGTTAGGTTAGGTTAGGTTAGCATTCGAGTGTTTTAACAGGTGAAATAAACTAGGGTGTGTAATCTTCACATGAGTCCTATAGTGTGTTTACAAGTGTTGCGTTAAGTAGAAAAGTATTGGGGTCAGGTGATCACTACTGGCTACAGGTAGTGTTGGGTTCAGGTGTGTTAATTGGGTGCTGTAGGTACGTGCGCCACACCTGACTGCTGCTGCTCTACGTGACTACTAGTAATATACCTGGTGTTTACGAGTACACCTGAGTGACCTGACTACTACCACGACAGTTTAATGACGCTACAGAAGTTTACCATCATGATTGTTACATCTTGTTTACCACTACTCCTCTCTCTATCACCCTTACACCTGGGTGGGTGGGTGTGTGTGTGTGTGTGTGTGTGTGTGTGTGTGTGTGTGTGTTATTATACGCAACAGGATATATGACCCATGATTCTTTCCGTATGTCACGATGAAAGGGGAGGGAGGTAGTGGGGGAGGGGTGGGAATCTCTCCTCACCCCTCCTCACTGTGTGGTGTTTATGTTAGGGAGGGTGTGGGTAGAGGTGAAGGTGGGAGGGTGTGACAGGGGAAGGAACAGAGGTGGGGGAAGGGGTGGGTGGGTGGGGGGTAGAGGTAGTAAGAGGGTCAGGGTGTCACGGAGGTCGGACTGAACCGTGCCAGGGAAGTCATGCCCTCCTCCTTACCCCCTCCTCTCTCTACTCATAGCACCCCTTACCCCATTTGTATGGGGAACAGATCCATCACCCTCCCCACCCCCACCTCCTGTTGTGTGTGGTGAGGATGTTGCCTCACCCCACACCAACACCACCCCTCTCACTCCTCCACCCCCCTCTCCCTTCCTCTTCTCTCTTTATCCATCTCTACCCCTCCCCCCTTTCCCCCTCCCTACCCTCCTCATCCCCTACCTCCTCCTCCTGCTCCCTCCTAAAAACAACCCTCACACACACACACACACACACACACACACACACACACACACATACATCAATCACCAATACAAGGGTGACCAAGAGTGGGTAATAGTCACCCTTGAATCTCCCTCATACTGGAAAAGTAAGATCAGTCAGGTCAGCCAGGTCAATCTTAAATACCTGTACCTTCCTTAATATGGAGTTACCTTTTGTCTATCAAATGTAAATAATAATAATAATAATAATACCCGTAATAATAATAATAATAATATAAGCATTAATTTGTATTATTACGTGTTTCAAATGTCCCAGGTGTATTAATTTAAGCTCGTAACCGGAAATACACCTGTAATTAATCCCTGTAATGATTAATAACACACCTGTCCGTATTATCCAACTGTAATTTACACTTCTTAACTGTATAACCGACACACGAACGATGCCTTTGTGAATCTAACCTTTCAATCGTCTTAACCTATAACAATAACAATAACTATAATAAGAACACTAACAACAATAGTAAAGATAATAATAACAATAACAACAATAATAATACAGTAATAACAATAACAGCAACAACAGTATCAACAATAACAAAAATAACAGCAACAACACCGCGATATATTTCATTGGCAGGGAAAAAAACACAGATTAATACTTCCTGCTGTTATAATTTCCCCCTGTATTTCCCCCCTGTATTCCTCCTCTACTCCCTTATACTTCCCCCCCTGTGTACTTCCTCACCCCACTTTATTCCTCCTTTAACTTCCCTCTGCATTCCCCCCCTGTCTCCCCCCCCCCTGTATTCACCCCCTTTAGTCATTACACACAAGGCACAGTAACACACCATGGGGGAGGAGGGGGGGGTATTGGCTCACCGCTCATTGTAGTGTTGTGAGGCCATTGTTTACAAGTGTGGCCAGACAGTCATTTGTTTGTTTTTTTTGTTTATTGTTTTTTTATTCAGGTGACAGTATGAGAGGAAATGTATCTGGACCTAACCTAACCTGACCTAACTTAACTTAATCTTACCTAACTGAGCCTAAACTAACCTAACTTAACTTAACCTAACCCAATCCAACCTAACCAATCCACATGTTATCCACCCTAAAATCATTCTATCCATACGCTATCCACCCTAAAATAAGCCATCCACCTCAAAATCACGCTATCCACCCAGACACGATCCACCGCTCAAACTCCGTTACAATAATTACCCCTTAAGTGCTGGTTGGTGTACCTGTATTCACTTAGGTTAGGTTAGGTTAGGTTTTTACAGGTAATAACAGTTAAGGTACAGTACGTGTGTTTCTGGTCGATAAATTAACACAGCTTCTTAACTTCTTTTTAAAAATAAGTTAATTCATTTTGATATTTTAGTTGATTATTAATTTAAATTTTTTTGAGTTGTGATTTTTTGACGCATTTAAATGTTTTTTGAAAGTTTTTAAAAATATGTGAGTTATTGAGTTAGATTTTATTGGTGTTTTTATTTTCGCTTATTTTTTTTTTTTAAGGAAGAGTCTAGCAGGTGGTAGGGGGTAAATCTTGGTGAGGTGACCCTGACCCGTGTGTGTGTGTATTGGAAGTTAGTATTCTATTTAAGGGAGAAATGTATCTATGTTGGCAGGAGGGGAAGTGGCTGGCAAGTAGTGGTAGTGGCCATGGAGATGTGGGTTAGCAGGGTATTGTGGCAAAGGGCAGGTAATTATACAGGTGAGGGGGAGGGGAGAGGGAGGGAGGGAGGTGAGGGAGGAGTGTGACCATATATATATATACGCCTGCTGGTAGTGGTGGTGGTAGTAGTTGTCGTGGGGGGGGGTAAGGTAGAGAGGGTGAACAACTTGTGTCACCCTGATTCATCCTTCATTAATTAACATACGAGTAGTTTTTATTTACCTTATGCCAACAGGTAAAGAGAGACAGTCTTATTGGTTCATTTAAACGTACAATATTTTTTTAAGATGTCTACGTTGATTATATTTACTCGTTACTTATATTGCAACTATGATTTAATTTACGAGTTTTTTTAGATTAAATAAGTGACTTAAATATACGTTGCTATGTGATTTGTATGGTAATTATTGTTGTTTTTGTCGTAAGTTAAGATTAAAGAAGTGTCTTGTATGTATGTGTTTAAGGTAAGGTGCAAAAGAAGATCTGTTAATGTTTCAATAATCGTAAGTGTTTTTGTATCTCGTAAACATATATTGATATTTACGTCTGTGTGGTTGACTATAGTGGTGACGTCTGTATCTTCTCCAATAATGGTTCCTTTTACTCCACCATGAATTTCTCTTCTCCAACAATGGTTCCTTTTACTCCACCATAAATTTCTCTTCTCCAACAATGGTTCCTTTTACTCCACCATAAATTTCTCTTCTCCAACAATGGTTCCTTTTACTCCACCATAAATTTCTCTTCTCCAACAATGGTTCCTTTTACTCCACCATAAATTTCTCTTCTCCAACAATGGTTCCTTTTACTCCACCATAAATTTCTCTTCTCCAACGATGGTTCCTTTTACTCCACCATGAATTTCTCTCCTCCAACAATGGTTCCTTTTACTCCACCATGAATTTCTCTTCTCCAACAATGGTTCCTTTTACTCCACCATGAATTTCTCTTCTCCAACAATGGTTCCTTTTACTCCACCATGAATTTCTCTTCTCCAACAATGGCGTCTCTCTTGCTTAACAGTGAATCTTTTCCCCATCACTGAGTCACTGACCAGCTGTTTGGGGTCTTTAGTTGACCATCTGGCACAGCTGGTAGTATTAGGTCACGGTCACCAGCTGGTAGTACACTTGTCTGGACCATCTGGCACAGGTGGTGATAGTACTGGGTCACGGTCATCGGCTACCATCCACCACACCAGCTAGGTCACGATGGCCCTGAGTGTTGTGTTGTGTTAATGCAGTCGAAATCCCTACAGGTGTGTGTGTGTGTGTGTGTGTGTGTGTGTGTGTGTGTGTGTGTGTGTGTTGTCCTCTGTGGCCACAACACACACGAGAGGTGGTACAACTGTAGGTAACAAGACGTGGTTGGGTGGCGTAGTTTCAGTGGAGGTGGTGTAACTGTAGCTCAAAGACACTTGGCTGTAGTTAAGAAAGAGGTGTGGTCGAGTACAGTAATTGTAGGGGGGGGGGTGAGGGGATGGTGTGACGCTACCTGTAATTTATATCATTTTCTACCTGTTGTGATTTTTTTGATTTAAGGTATTGTTGTTTTTATTTTGGTTATTGTTATTATTGTTGTTATTGTTATTTATTTATAAACTCACATACTACAGACAAATACAATGGGGGGGAAGGGGGGGGGTGCATGACCAGCACAATTTACCTGAGAAAATAGTTGGTTATGACAGATGGTGATGGTTAAGAGTTGACAGCTGGTAAAACCCCGCCCCCCCTCTCTCTCTCTCTCTCCCCTCTTTGTTGATGTCTCTCTGGCCCTGACCCGACCCCCATGACCCCAAGGGAACCCCGAGGTGACCCCAGGCGCCCGAGCGTGGGAGTGTTGGTAACTGTTCAGCTCCCCTTCAGTAGTGGATTACACCTCACTACCCACAGACCACAGGTAGCCATTTGGGGTCATTAGCCAGGACGTAGGTAGATAGGCAGGTGTAGTAGGTAGGTAGGCATTTGATTACTCCTTCTCCTTCTCTT